GGTGGAAGCAGCATTTGAAGAGATGGCCGGCTCAGAAATTTCCAAAACTAGCACGGAGACAGCAAGCCCTACATTGCACAGATATTAAGCGACGCAAGGAGAAGTGAAGAAAACCACCCCAGGCATGCTGAGAGTCAAGCTGCACAGAAGGCGAACTGCTCACAGGAGCAGAGAGTGCAAGATGGAGCCTGCCAAGGGACACTGGCCCGGCGCTGAGAGCCTTGTCGGCGGCACTGATGGTCAGTGACGGGGGGCTGTCTGGAAAGTGCCGAGGGAGGAAAAACTGTCAGCTCAGACCTCTATGCCCGGCAGATGACCTTTACAACGAAGGCGAAAGAGCTCCATCTTCGGTAAAGGTCAGGGGACTCAGCGCCAGCCTACTTGCATGACAAGAAACGAGCAGGTTCTGCAGGAACCTGGCAAGAAAACGGTCATGTGCACGAAGAGATGCGCCGCAGCATCTGTGGTTCGGGAAGCGGAAATCAGAGCTACAGTAAGCTCGAAGTCCACATGCGCTCAAGGCTGTCGACAGTGGCAAGAGCGGGGGAGGACACTGACCTTGGGACCCTGACACATGGGTGTCGCCCAGAATGTACCAGGGCCTAGCAAACTTGACTAAACAAAGCCATCCGACAACGTGCACAGCGTGCCGGCGCCAGGGTAGCCCCACAGTGGGCAAACAAAACGGGGTCCCTACTCCAGGGCTCTTGTCCAGGGATCAGAAAGGACGGAGCGCAGACAGGCCTCCCGTTGGGCAAACCTGGGCCGCTCCCTGTGTCTGACCCTTTCTGTGTCCGTGAGAGCGGGACAGACGGAGTCTACGACCAGGGGCTCAGCAGCAGGACAGCGAGGACGCAGAGGGGCGGCCACGCACGGCCTTCCTGTGGAGGATGAAGAGGCTGCAGCACAGGCTGTGGTGAGGCCCAACTCCCGGGACAGACGCAGGACACTGAGTAGCTTGCTCGAGCAGCTGGGCCTGCAGGAACGGGTCTCCTCGGCCTCCGCAGACTTGGGGAGGCACTGCTGGCCCTCCCGGGAAGAGACCTGCCCGCCAGTGTTGCCGGAAGCACCAAGGGCCGGGAGTAGTGGAGAAACCTGAAGAGCGAACAGAGGCGCTAGAGCCCTCAGGCTCGGCACTCACAACCCGAGACTCACTTGGGGGCCGCCAGGTGAGCAGGCGTGGTGGCAGTACAGGGACAGCCGGGCTGATGTCATGCAGCAGAGGCCGACGCGACAGGCCTGCAAACACAGGCAGCACTTTGATTCCGTGGGGAAAGATCACCTCTTTGTGATGCGCATGGGACAGACTGAATGTCCGCGCTGGGGCCCGGGATGCCGGTGAGGAGCACGGAAGCGCCTGGGAGTGCAACGAACGAGAGTCACACTGGGGGCCTGCGGCGGAGTGTCTCTTCGGCAACAATCAGACAACTCTGACGGGACCAGGAGGCCGATCCGCTGGCTGTCATTGAATGCCATGGTCAACACGCTTCCGGTGAGCTGTCCTCCAAGACGCGAAGCGGAGGCACCGAGAGCCCCCCCCCCCAAGAACGGCCACCGCGGCAGCGTGACCATAGGGAGCGCTGGCGCAGCCCGGCCCGAGACCACTGAGCGGAGCGTCGGGCACTGCTCCCGGAGAGCCTGCCCTCGCCCTGCACCCAGCCGCCTGCTGCCTCTGCGCCCGGGCAGTACAGCTAAGCGGAACTACATCTCCCACAATTCCCTGGGCAGCCGTGGCTTAGGGTAGGCCTCAGGAGGAAGCTGCACGGGGCCTGGCAGGAGAGAGGGGCGGAGGAGGCGTTCTGAGGGCTTGTGGAGGGGCGGGCTGTTGGCGCTAGCAGCTACTCCGTGTTCCAGGCCGGGCATGTAAGCAGTTCATGGCAAAGTGTGCCTGTTTGTCCCGCTGCCACCGGCACCATCAGCTCGTAGATGCGGTGACGTGGACATGGGCCCTACTTGCTGTCCCCTGATGTCTATCCAGAGGCCATCCCTTGTGGACCGGGGGCCCGACCCCAGAGGCAGGAGTCACAGGCACACGCACACTGCCGGGCCAGCCCGGCCTCGCTAGTCCCCCACCGATACTCTGCCCAGCAGGCCGAAATGACAGATGTCACCAAGACAGCTTCATTCGTCCCAGCCCCGAGCTGAGGGCCGCCCAGATGAGCATCGGAGGGAGAAGGGGCAGAACGTGGCATCTGCCCTGAGGGACAGACAGCACATGCGGAGACGCGACAAGGGTACAAAGCAGGGCCCATGCGGAGAACACGTGGGCACAAGGGGCGGGGCTGCCAGCCTGGAACATGAAGATTAGGAACATGCAACTGGGGCCTCCCCGGTGGCTCAACGGGTCAAGGCGCAGCACTATGAGGTATCAGCAGCCACTGCAGCACCAGTTCGAACCCCAGCCCTGCAGTGACCCCCAGGGCGTGGCAGACTGCTCTGGTCTTACCCACTGCTCCCCTCACCAGTGTGTTTCACCCCCCAACCCCACACCTCTGGCCTGTACCCCGGTTCTTATGCATAACTAAATAAATCTTAAACAAAAAAAGAACATGCAAAACCAACCTGTGGATTCTGAGCCAAGAGAGTGGTTTTCTTGTTTGAGACACCTTTTGGGGGTGGGGAGGCGAGGGCAGAAATGCCTCACCCCAGGACAGAAACCCCCTGCATTCTTGCCCCCCCTTGCCTGAAGCCCATGGCCCCTCGTCGATAGGGTCAGCCTTGGGGACGGGCCTATCTCTAGGAGCCCGCAGAAGCCAGATCACCAGTGGGGACCGCCTGCCCCAGATTCTGTGCAGACGGCCACCCTTGGCTGTCCTGCTAACATGGGCGGGAGCTTCTGGATGCTCCCAAGGGTCAGCCTTTGGGCCACCCCTGAGGCGGCACTGTCCCACCCAAGCCAACGCAGACCACATGGCTTCGAGCTAAGGAAATGATGCCGTTGTTTCAGCCCTACGTTTTGGGTTGCTTTGGTGCCTGGTCACTGAGTGCACTTTCCCGCTCTAAAGTCATCACAAAGGCTGGCATCTGAGGATCTGGCCTGGGAAGTGTGCTGGAGGTGGGTGCAGTCCATACCGCAGTCAGAAGCGGAGGCCCTAGGAATGCAAAGCTCTGTTGGCGTCTGTGAGCCTTGGAGAGCCCAGCAGGCGGGTGGAAGCCACCAGGGAAGTCCAGAGGAGGCTCGGTGGGCGACGCCATTTGCTTGGCAGGAGTGAGGACGTTGAGCATTGAGGCCGCAAAAAACCCAGGGTGTGCTCAGAGGTCCCTCACAGAGGCGGTGCTGGTGGCTGCCGCCACCAGCAGCCGGCCACGGCGGGGCCCGAGGTCCCTAGCGTGGCATCAGAAAAGGGTCCCCGGATCAAGGACGATCACGATGGCCTGGAGTTACCCGGGCAGCATGCCGGGGCAGGCGCGGGGTTGTGAGGCGGGAGGGCGAATGGGAAGAGACGAGAAAGCATGTGTTTTGACAAGTCTGACTCTCAAGAGGAACAGAGGCGGGTGCATGGTTGGAAAGCCACAGTGAGCCAAAGGAGCCTTTCAAAATGGAAGCTACTAGAGCGCACCTGATGACAATGAAACCCATGAATGCAGACAAAGATGGGATGATTTTACCCTGATCGGCACCATCGGCTGCTTTGAACTAACCGACATCTAGGGAGCTGCCGCGCGGGGAAGCCGTGCTGCTTAGGTACGCGCGCAAGCCCCACGCTCCCGCAGCAGCCTGCATGGACATGTGCAGAGACCGAGTCAGCCTTGAGCACAAGGGAAAGTAGAAAAGGCTGTGAGCTGAATGTAACGGAAACAGCACATCACCCTGGAGAGTGCGGGCGAGCTGCTTGAGAGGGCCACAGCTTTGCGCGCTGACATTAGGCCAAGACGCAGGCCAGGGAGGCGGTTGAGGAAGAGGAGGCCGCAAGCCCAATAGGACAGGGAGCAGGAGAAACTCCAGGAGCGAGACGAGGAGGCTGGGGAAGGGCCCTGGGCCCCAGGCAGCAGGCAGGAGGCCGGTGGAGGCGCTGTTGGAGTGCAGGCGCTGGGCTTCATTCCACTCCATTGCCACAGCTTTCGCCACTGGTCACTACAACGAAGTGTCTGGGAGCCCACTGTCCATTTAAAAATAAACTACCAGTGACAAGTTACACCTTAAGAAGCTGGTAAAAGATGAGCAAAGTGAGCCCCCAAATGCTTTCACACCCCAGGCAGAAGGGAACAACCAAGGCAGAAAATCAGTGGACCCAAAACCTGGGTCTTAGAGGTAGTCAGTCGCTGACCCTCTCCGTGTGCAGGTCATGGGAAAGAATGCGGGTCTCCAGGAAAGCGGGTGCCCCACCTGGCCCTAGTGGTGAACAGCAGGACAAGGGCATCGCCAGCTGTGCCCATCGGGAGAAATGGAGCAGTGTGAAATGCACCCCTCTGAAGCTGCCAGAGACCAGTTCTGAAGGAGTGAAACTGAAATGGCCAAGCTTCCCTGCAGATGTGGCTGCACCCACCAGAATCCCCCAGCGCAGTGCTGAAGCACAGCAAGAGGAGACCCTCATGCCACCACCAGGGGTGTCACAGAAAACGGACGCTCAGTGGCCCTGAACACCGAGGTAAACGCTCGCCACGAAGTGGACCGTGGCGGCGGGCTTGGAACTTCCGGAGCAGAGATGCCAGCCCCACCCACCCTGCGCAGGGGCGCTTGCGGTGGGCAAGGACGAGTGGAGCTAACTGCAGGAGATGGTGGGCACACAGAGCACCCCCAAGGGCCCGCTGAGCACGGCACGGGTGCGCGGTCTCGGGACTCCCGCGTCGCTACATGCAGCGACCTACTACAAAGTAGAGAAAACCATGTCCAAGTGTTGAAACCCATTCACCAGCTCGAGGAAACTCCCCCTGGGTGCTGCCAGCAGCAGCAGCAGCAGCAGCGTGACCTCCTGCAAGGGGCAGGAAATGCCCCCAGGACGGAGGCTGCGGGGCGGCCCCCAGGCGGTCAGCACAACAAAGGCCGCCAGTCCAGTCCAGCAGGGTGGGACTAAGTCTTTATTACTGCGGCGCACTAGGCCTTCGGAGATGCCCACTTTGCGGGCACGTAGTGTGACTCGTGACTGCGGACACTGGTCGCTGCAAGCCCAGTGCTCCTGGAGGTACTCCGTCGGCACGCCCCTCAACGGCTTCTGAAGAGTCTGCCCCACTTCCTTCCCCCCGAAACGTTTCCTTCCCTTCTTTCTGCCTGGCTCCCCAGCTCCCACCTTCGTGGGGGCGTTCCACTATCTGGGTCACACAGGCTTGAGCTTACTGGACGTGGGAGTGTCTTGGTTGAGGCCACGGGCCTGGAGGCTGGCCCGCTCACAGGTCACTGGCTCAGGGGTGCGGCTGGACTCGGGCGGCTCAGTGAGGCAGAGCAGAGCCCTGCCAGCGGCCAAGCAGGCCGGGCCGCACCTCATCTGCTGTTCCCCAGGGGCCGCCTTGCCCCGGGGCTTTGGGCTGTCCAGGAAGAAGGGCTTGACTCCTCCCCCGAAGCCCCTAGACAGTGCCTTTCCTCCCCGGGGAGGGCTGAGGCCGTTTTCATCTTCGAGCTGGGCCGCGGCTTCTGCAGTCTGCAGGGCGCTCCGCCCGCACGGCCCGCGCCAGCCCGAGCAGCGGCACCCGCCCGGCTGCGCCCCACGCACTGCCCGTGGCCACGAAGGCCCTGCCGCGAGAACATCCAACCATGAGAACTTGACTTCCGGGTTATGGGGCCTGGCCAGGTGCAGGTCAGCTCTGGAACTCATCGCTCTCTTCGGGCCTCTGCTTGCCCAAGCCTAGGGAAGGAGTCAGCGCCGCTCAGCCACTGGGGTGCGCACAGCTGTAGCGCCCCTGGCCGCAGGCCAGGCCACGCTTCCTCAACTCCCGGGGCTCTCTCTGGAGTGGAGGGTTTCTATTTCTAAGCAGTGGCTCTTCAATAGCACCTGCAGTGGAAAATTCTGGCGGGGCCTCGCCTCCTGCAGAGGCAGGGAGCTGAGGAAGCCCCCAAGAGAGCGAGGGCGGAGCAGGGGCCTGACCAGGTACCAGGGGCGGCGGCGGCAGGCGGCTGGCCACCTGGCCCGTACCTGGCAGGGAGGCAGACGACAGCAGCTCCAGGCTGTCCAGGACCCCGTCCTCATAAAGGGCCAGCTTGTGCAGCATCTTCTGGCGGGCCGGGTTGATGATGATCTGTGGAGATGCCGACGGCACGGAACTGCCCGGGAGTGGCCCTGCGTGGAGAGCCGCGTTAGCCGAGGCCTGGGCCAGGCAGCTGGGCCGGAAGTGCTCACTGCAACCGCCAGCATTCTCCCTGCCCTTCGGGACAGATGTTCTCCAGCATTCCGAGGGCAGGGCTCGCCACTCGGTCAGGAGCCCGGATTCTGGACAGGGCCTTCTTTGTTCCCAGCCTTAAGGGAGCACGCTCCTGCCATCTCCTCACCCACCCCGGGGCCCAGCCTGAGGAGACGGCACCAGGCCCTTCTCAAGGCCTGGAGCTTGCTAAGGACAGCAGATCACAATGATCTCCTCCCGGAGGCCTCGGAATGGGGAACATGGGGCCAGTCACCAAGGGAGGCCCTGGTCCCGGTCCCGGGCACCTGCCCCAGTTACCTTGCACAGCTGTGGCTCGGGGCCCTGGGCCACTTCCCCAGCTTGGCTCTTGGCCAGGGGCCCCTGGAGTGCAGCTGGCCTGCCCAAGGGCTGCTGGGGCCTGCAGGGGGGCCCCTGGCCCAGGGCTGCCTGGGAGAGCCAGGCCTGGGGAGCAGCTCGGGGTCAGGTGCCAGGAGTGCAGGACAGCAGACAGGCTGGGCACACTCTCGTCACTCTCTGCAGGCTGGGCTCGCTCTGTAGCCCGGGGAGGCCACAGGCTGGCACGGCTCAGGGCACTGCCAGGGGTGGACACGTAGGAGTTCTCCTGTGGGGATGGGGCGCCGTGGGCAGCAGCTTCTGTCTCCGGCAAGGACCCTGCCCCAGCCGCATGCAGACTCTCCAGCCTCTCGTACACCTTGGAGGAGAGAAGGGCTCTCAGGGCAGGAGGGTCCCCAGCTCCTGGGTGGGCTTGGCCCAACCTCCCCAAGCAGCTGAGCTAAGGACAGCAAAGGGATCGTCTGTCTCCTGCACAGAAAATCTCACTGCTCTGCCGCCTTCGAGCGAGGCGTCTTTATCGGTAACTGTCGAGGCAGGGTGGGGCTGGGCGGGACACAGAAGGGCAGGCGCAGCGGCTCGCACGGCGGCCAGGAGGGGCTGAGCAGAAGGCCTGGCCCACAACCAGCACAGGCGAGGCCAGAGCCAGGGTGCCCTCAGCTGCAGGCCAGGGGTGCAGACTCGGTCTGCAGAGCAAAGCCCAGCGCTACAAGCACAGGCTTCGAGGCGCAGCTCCTGCAGGCAGCGCCTTGTCGGCCCCCAGGGCTACCTGGGTCATGGGGGGTCTCCTCTTGGCCCGGTGGTGCAGGCAGCAGCATGCCAGCTGGGCCAGTGTCAGGCCCAGCTCTGGTGGGCACGGCCCAGGTCTGGGGTCCAGGTGTTTCTTGCAGATCTGGGTGGCGATCGGGGCAGCCCAGGCGTCTGCGGCCACACCTGCTTGAAGCGCTGTTTGGGTGCTTTTCAGGGCCACCCCAGCCTCCTCGGCCTCCTCTGCAACCAGGTCCTTCTGTAGACAGATGCTGTGAGTGTGACCGCAGGGGCCTTCAGTGGGTGCCCAGGTCCTCCTACTCCTGCGCTTTTTCTTTGGATACACCGAGCATCCCCAAGGGTGCCCAGTGTTGCCCTGGGCCCTAGGGACACAGGTACAGGGGCAGCAGATGGAACACCCTGGGTCCATCCCCATGGAGCTGGACCTGAGAAGCCCATAAGCTGGCGGGAAGCAGGGGCGGCCCAGGCTGTCAGTGGGGCTAGGCCAGAACTAGCTGCAGAGGGCAAAGCCAGAAGGGGGCTGTTTCCCCAGTCCCCTGGAGGGTGCCTGGGAGGGAAACAGGTTCCGTGCAGCTCTGAGGTGGGAGGCAGCGGGAGGAAGCACTGCGGGGGACGGGCCGGCAGCAGGGGTGGCCGAGTCTAGAGCACAGGGAGGCCAGCGCGGGCCACAGGCCGGGGCCACCCCAAGCGCAGCGGGGGGCCAGGTGCTTCTGACACCACTCCCCGTCGGCAACGCTGCTCCGCCCGAGAATTCCCAGGAAAAGCGCAAGAACCGGGAGCCCGGTGCCCACACAGGACCCTGTGAGGCAGACTGCTGTCCAGCTGGGACCAGAGCAGGCCTCGTGGCATGGCGCCTCTGGCCACAGCGCACCCCTGCTGGCTTCTGTGCAGCGCAATGGGGGGGGCCTGTGGGACTGCCCCCCACCACTCCACCTGGGGGTCCTGGAAGGCCCACGGCAGCTGCAGAGAAAAGACATTTCTCCTCGGCAAGGCAGAGGTGCTGGGGCCCTGCCGGCTTTCTGACTAGCTGGGGGCAGCATTCAAGACCACTCCACCCTCCAGGCTGCACCTGCAGGTGACCCGAGCAGGGCTCATGGCTCCCCACTGCCTGCTCTAGGCACGGGGCGCTCACCAGATACTTGGTCCCGGTGGCCTGCACGCGCACGGCCCGCTGGCCGGCCAGAGACTCCAGCAGCACCTGCGGGGGCAGGGCCGTGTGGCGGTTGGTGGCTGCGGGGCGGCAGCGCGGGGTGGGGCTGGGGGTTGGGGGGCGCTAAGGCCTGCAGGGCTGCAATGGGCTGCGGCTGAAAGGCCCAGGTGGCCTGCCAAGCGGCAGGCCCCGGGTGTAGCGTGCTTGCTTGAAGAAAGACAAGGCGAGATGACAAATGCGAGTCGAGGCACCGCCCCGAGGCACCACCCCGACTCTCCGGCCGTCTGGCCTTCGGCTGACCGTAGTCCCTCCGCCCTGAAGCCAGCCGCAGCGCCCTGCTCACCACACCAAAGCTGAAGGTGTCAGTGTCCACAGACAGCCGGCCTGTCCTGACGTAGTCCTCGGGCAGGTAGGCCAGCGTGCCCCGCACCGTCTGCGTCCGGGCCACAGCACTGCTCTGGCCAGCGCTGGCCCCCGAGAAGCAGCTGAGCCGGGCCAGGCCGAAGTCCCCCAGTTTGGGCATCAGGCGCTCATCCAAAAGGACGTTGGAGCTTCGGGAGGAAAAGGGTGCCATCAGCTGGCCCAGCCACTCAGCCCCTACAGTACCCTGATGAAATTGGAGCGGTGACCATCCACTGGGCACCATGCCCAGACAGAAGCTAGTGCAGCCCTGCATCTGGCTCCCTGGGGGCTCTGAGCAGCAGCCCCAGACTCCGGCAGTGAGGTCCCTGGCTCGCAGCACGGCCTGTCCTTGCTTTCCACACCTGTCCACAGCAGGCTCTCAGCGACCTGCCCTTAGCCTAGAGCTGGGGCACTTGCATCGGAGCGCCCCTCAGCAGACTCTCTCTCGGGCCCGGCGGTGCCCTGCTCACCTTTTGACATCCCCGTGGATGAGGCTGGGCTTGTCCTGATGCAGGAACTGAATGGCGCGGGCCGTGCCCAGCAGGATGTCCAGTCGCTGCGGCCAGGAGAGAGGCGGGTGTGCCTGCGGCTAAAGCAGCAGAGGGAGCTCTGGCACACACCCGTCAGTCCGGGCCGCCTCCCCGCAGACAGGCCTAGGCTGCCCCCGTCCCGTGTGCAGCCAGCCCTGGAGGCTCATGGGTACCTTGCTGGGCAGGGCCAACCGTGGGCGAAGGGTGAGCGCCTGCAGCCTGCTACCCTGTGTTGCAAGGGCTGTGCTGACTGGAGGGAGCCTTCGGCTACTTGAACAAATCACCTCCTTTTCTGAGGGGTGGGGCAGCTCTAGCCAGCCCAGGGAAGCCCAAAGGAGGCCCTGGGAAAAGGTGACCCCATCCCCCGCCCAGGCAGGTACCCGGCGCAGGGGGCTGGGGCAGGCAGGAGACCTGGCCGTGCAGGCGGTCTTCCAGGGAGCCGTTGGGCAGGAAGCTGTAGACTAGGCAGTGGAAGCCGCCTTGCGCACAGAAGCCGGCAAACTCCACGATGTTTGGGTGCCGGAACCTGCTGAAGAGGGTGGCCTAAGCCTGTGGCCCCCAGCCCACTGTCACCGGCCTAAGGTGCGGCCTGCCCAGCTCGGCTCACCGTGACAGCTGCTGCACCTCGGCCAGGAAGCTCTGCTGCACCCCGCTCCGCTCCAGGCCTGTGTCCTATTGCCCAGGGGTGGGGAGGAGTGTGAGGCTCCTGCTGTCCCCTGGCCTGGGCTGGACAGCCCAGGGCCTGGGGACCTTGAACTCTGGACCGACAGCTGAAGGAGTCGCTGGGGGAAGCATGGCAGGAGGAGAAAAGGGAGGGACTGCGGGCAAAATTGCGGGGCTCGTGGGGGCTGCTCTACCCACCTCCTTCAGCCTCTTCACAGCGTACACGGTGTTCCTCATCACGGCCCGGTACACGCACCCAAAGCCACCCTCCCCAATTTTCAGCTCTTCTGAGAAGTTGTGGGTGCCCTGGGAAATCTCGTGCAGGGGCCAGCAGAAAGGAGACAGGTGGGCCCCCTGCAGGAGGGAGACAGGGCTCTCTGGGCTGGGCTGCGGGAAGGGATCCCAGATCATCTGAGGTTCTGTCTCTTCCCTAGGCCCACCGCCCGCTCCCGGGATCCTAGCTGCCAGCCAGCGGTCCCCCCCACCCTGGTTTGGCTGAGGCTGTCCAGAGCACCAAAAGCTGGGTTTCTGGGTCTGGATGCAAGCTCCCTGGGGTGGCACCCGCCTACCTTGGAGGAGGAAGGGGCTGGAGATGGTGCTGGAGGTGGGAGGGGAGCCTGGTCCCGGCCTGACGCTTGCTCTGCTCCAGAATGGGTGGGCCTGCCTGGAAAAGCTTCACAAAGACAGGTGAGAGAGGGCTGCAGAGCAAGTGGCAGGTCCACAGGGCCCGAGCCGGGCGCCCTTACCTGGGGAGAGGAGAGTGGAGGTGGACAAGGGCGGCGTCCGGGGGCAGGGGGCTTCAGGCTCTGGGGGGACACTGGTGCTGCTGGGCGTCGGGGCAGCAGTGCTGGGAGGCAGAAGGGGGGCAGGAGGCTGCCCTGGAGGTGGAGGGAAGCAAAGGCAGGTTAGGGCAGAGGGTGGCAGCCAGGGAGAGGCCCGGGGCCCGAGCACAGGGTGGCGCTCACAGGCCGTGATGATGTCCCGCGCGCGGAGCAGCTGCAAGTGCGTGAGGATGCGCACGAGGTCGGCCACGCGGGCGTTGCGGTTGATCCAGGGCCACAGGACGCTGGCTGTGCGCTGCCCGGAGCGCTCACACAGCCGCAGCTCCGTCTGGTCGCGCACGATCAGGGCGGCTGCG